TGTGTAAAATATTTTAATGAGATTCAATATCAGATATGTACAATATTTTGTTTTATTGATGTAGTGTTTTACCAGTTATTTCTACTGGATGTAAGGAGTTCATTTCAATGTTAATATTTGTGATTTGGTTCAATACTACCAAAATTATCTTCTAAAAAAGATGCTCGTTTCTGTAACTGGTATAATATCAACTTTGAAATGAACCCTTTCATTGATTATGAAAAACAGTCATGCAGCTCAATTTGAAGATATCAAACAAGAGAACAGTTACCCACAATAATAATAATGATGATAAATTTAACACATACATCAAATATAACAGTGACTAGATCCCAAATAGTATCTATTGGGAACAATCTAAAATCTCTAATAGTTCAGCAACAAGTTCTCAATGGACAAAATCATTCTTGATATTGGCATGGTTATATTAAATAGTTCACAGTATGGTAATGATTCATTTTGAATTGCATTGTAGTTTGACATAAAGATTATAATTTAAAGGAAGTTGGTGGGCGAGTGAGTGAACTTGTTACTAAACTATTATATAGACAACTATATTTACAAAGACATTACTTCATCACTGAGCCAGGTTAAGCCTAGTTTAATCCTAATCCAGGTTAAGCATAGTTTAATCCTGATAACAGCTTCTATATATCTATAGATATGAAATAAGTCAGATTTATTTTTTGAGGTATATTAACAGTTATTTTGATCACTGGATACTTTATAACAAATTTAAATTATATCATTCTATTTCTATTTACATCAAAAATCATAGGTGGATTTTATTTTCATTAATCAGCAAAATTAAGTGAATTCGTTTCAATTGGATTATTTCCTTCATATTTCAAAATGTGGTAACAATTTAACAGGAAGTTATAAAAAAATTCATTAAAACATGAAGTCAATTTAACAATAGGTTTGGAACAATAGTGAAATTCATTTGAACAATTTTAAACCATAAATCTGTTTGAGACGAGTCCCATTGAAGTTCATTATAAATTAGCCATTTGTAATGTTTCTGTTGTTGTTTGTAATTCAATGATGAAACAATGTCAAGTGACTAAAAGGGAGAAGGAAACATGCAGAATATAATAACATATTTACTATATATAATAACATTTAAACAATGAAAACCAACAATAGGACTATAAAGATAATAAATTACTTATTGAAAGAGGTTGACTTATACACTAACTAATTTCATATTAGTCAATGGTTTTATAAAATGAACACTGTAAATATATTTTATATTGTTCAAGACCAGAGTGTTTTATATGATTCACCAGATTATCAGGCAATATTTAACTTGGTGCCAAGGTGCCAGGGGGCTCACCCTAAACTAGGTATGATGTTCGCAGATTCTGTCAAATGTCAAGGTTTTACTCACACTAAGGGTGTGAACACAACCTTGACATATCAACTGTGACCTTATTAGTGTCAAATTAATTATGTTGGGTAGTTAATTCTGATAATTCTCCAACCCAATAGAAACCAGGACAGGGCTGACATTTTAAGTCAGATTTTTATAAACATGAAAATAGTTAAAGAACAAGTCTACCAGCAACACTATAATACAATCAATCTCACCCCATACACAGATTCACGGTTTCATTTTAACAAATACACATTTAACAGACAGAGAGAGTTATTATGTACAATTCATTTAAACATTTTTATACAGTTATCTTAGTACAGTTATCAGAAACAGATTGGTATTTATCAAAGCCAACGAGTACAAAATTTGAGTAAATTAACCAAATATTGGCTGGTAGATAATCTAAGTTCTGATAACTATATTGATAAGATTGAAGAAACATATATAGTACTTTAAATATTTCTATCCTGAGCCAAAATATGAAAACAGATCCAGCAGTGGTTATAAGATTATTTTGTTTTTTTTAGGTTTTTGATAAATTTTTTAGATAGATTTCATCTAGAATTTGAAAACATGAAAAAAGCACCAAAAGTTAAAAATATGAGTGACATACATCAATCTAACACGTATTCATATTGTATACAGCATAACAAGAATAAATTAAGTATCTATAAATAAACTGTGGAATATTATTCACTTTAATAAATATTTTTTTTGGGACATTTTGTATTTATATAGCAAAGATTGAAAATAAAAAAAGGAATAAGAGACTAGTTTGGGGGCCAATGGAAAACTTCTAAAATAAGCAAGAATGTTGAATTAATATACTGTAAACCTTCAGTTTTTATATTTAGCACATTTTCCAATGACTTCAGCCTCAGATTTTAAATTATTGGTTCATAAAATGATGTGAAATAATGACAGTTAATCAAATGGTAATTTCTTAAGAAGTAAGTTGATTTTACAAATAAATAATAAAGTAAATTTCACAAGAAAATCTTTGGAAAATTGTGATTTTTTAACTCAAACTGGCCATAATAATCAAAGAGAGTTGGTATGCCATTTCCTATCACTTCTGAGATTGTATGAAACTATTAATGATTTGAATGCTATTTTATAATTAGAATGGAGGGGAATTGAACTCACTTAAGATTATTTGATATGTAATGGTACAACATAAATATTGACAAAGTCTGGAGAGAAAACTGCATTAATAAATAATAACACAAGTTTCATACAAAAAAAGAATAAGAAAATAAGGAATTAAATAACATTGACACAGAACAATATACACATTTCATAATAAATAATAAACTGGTGCAAAAATATATGCTTGCAAATTTGTACAATTTTTTTTTTGTGGTGAATTTATTTATAAATTATACAAAATGTTGTAGAATTGGAAGATTACTCGATTAAGCTGAAGATCTTTTATAAGAAATAATCTTATTGTGTAAGCTAAGTGGTTGTCTTGTTTTAAAATTATTCAACAACCTTAGATCAACTGTACTAGATACTAGAAGTCATGTCACTGCTATCCCAGACATATAACCGACCTTCACCTTGAAATAACAGTGCATATATGTTCCTTACTGGAATAAGTTTTAGGAAATGTTGGCCTGTAATTCTAAATGTGACATTTTGTTGTTGAATAATTTTAATCAATTATTAATCAAATTATCTTATAAAAAAAAAGACAAAACAATATGGTAACCAAATTTAAAAATTTTGAGCATATATGATGTCTGTTGTATTTTGTGAGATTTAGAATTAATGATCTAAGTCAGAGAAAGTAGGCCAATAGACATGAACAATCATTATCCAGTTGACTATATAACATGAAGACAATGTAAACTAGCAGTCAGGATATTAATCAGACTTGTAGTTTTTGTCTAGACTATTATCAATACTTTTATACTATACAGGATAAAAAAAACCAAGTCATTGAACGCTTCAAACAAAGATCAATGTAAGAGTAAAGTAAAAATCTGGATTTGTGAATTAGAAATAAAGTGAACATGTTGTTGTTATGAACAGGCTGGTATTGAATTAGAAGTATCTATCATGTATTGTATCTGTCACAGTATTGATTTTTACTGAGGTCATTTGAGGGTAATGATAATTACTACCTTTATACCCAGCTAGAGTATATATATAATCTATATCCAATAAATAACAACAATATTCTAGTTACCATACTGCTTTGTCCACTTTCCTTTTTATAACTTTGTTATGGTGGCTACACACAATATTTTGGCTATGTTAGAATTCAACTGGGTGCACTAAGGTACAATTACCAGCTAATCAGCCATGAATAAAGCAGGGTGTATCACTGTTTTGAAATCTGTCCTGACTAAAAGAAACATCAGTCCACAACCCATTGACTAAACTAATACAGTCATCCTTCATTACTCCAATGCCTTCTAGTATTATATAGCAGGGAGAGTTCACAGACCCTTAGATCAGCATGGATATACACTATCCATAATTTCCTTATCAAATATAGATTGAAAACTAACTCTGAAAGCTGGTGAAATTTGGTACGCAAAAGGTTGCAAAGCAAACAATAGCACTCTTTCCATCACATGGAAGATCACTACAAATTAATACCAATAATATAGAGACACAGGTACAAAAAGAAAAGTGTTTATGCATATTCTATGTCTATGGCTAAGAAATGGGTTATTTGGCTCTCTTTGATGGTAAAATGATGAATTGAAATGTGTTGTTTCACAACCGTGGATAAGCCAAGCCTACCTGTTTCTTGGATACCTTATTATTAGTATCACTGCCTATTCGTTGATTTTGTTACAAACAGGAAAATTGTCTGATTTGAGCAAGGAAACATAATTAAAATGTCTAAGTCTTTAAAAAAAATATCTGAATGGTAAATCCTCACAGAAAAGTATAAAAACAGCACACAAAATAGATGATAGCAGGCATACATCCACTCAAAGTTTGATTCATCAATTTTTCTTTTATTTTCTTTGTATTTTATTAGAAATGGCAGGCAATGTTGTCATTATCTTCGTCACTAAGTGAAGTATTGTATTTTTGGAAGGAAAATCCTGAGTTATGCTTTGAAAGTTTATAATTTAATGTTAATGTTTTAATACATTTTTATTTGAATAATAAATAATTCACATTATGGTACTGTCTCTCTGTGTTGAGCCCTGTTATTTATGTAAGTTATCAAGTTTTTATATAACACTGTAGTAAACCAGGTATATCATACTGTATGTATAGTCACTGCTTCCTAGGAATAAACAAACAGGCACTATATTTTTCACTTTTTGAAGAAACTTTCACTGAGTTATTATAAATTCCAAAATCACACACATAACAGGGCCTTCACCATAGTGGTATGAATTTAACATTCCATAGCTAAGGCTCTTGCTGTAAATCGGGTTGCAAATTTTTCCTCTGCCACAGATACTCCTTGTGATAAATTGTCCACAGAATAGCCACTACTGGAATCCTCATCAACAGAAGGTTTGGAATCAAAGTCATTGTCGTTATAACCTGAACTACTAGAATTGCTCTCAGTTTCCAATGATTGACTTCGCTGTATTTCAGCTGATGAGGGTGATGGTATGGTGGGGTTGTTTTTCTGAGGGTGACATGATAAACAGGGACGTAGTAATTTAGGGTCTACTAATACCTCACCATTTAACCCTTTAAATATTGTTCCACAGCAAACTTGGGTTCTACAAAGACAAAAATATATTTCATACTAATGAATGATCTCAAATGAACATGAACATTTATTAAACAGTAAGAAGGGAAAACTGCTTAACAACATAAGGGAAATTGAATGGACAACGGAAATACATAATTACATTATTGTTATGGACAGAGGAATGACAATTTCGCATCATTAATAATAGAAATTAAAGCTACTTACTTCTTCCAGTAGGTGAGATCTAAGAAGGAGCTAACATATTGAGATCCAGATCTTTTTCTAGGTCGGGGAGAAACTTCACGTTGTTCTTGTCTTTCTTCACTATCTGATTCATCACTTAATTCAGACCTTTTCTGTGGGAATTCACTTCCATCATTACTGTTCTCATTACCTGTAAATATAACAATAAAATATAGAGTTAATTTTTTTTAACATAGGCTTGTATCTATAATTGTATCTAAAAACTTGTCAAAGGAACCAGATAAGCTCCTGAGAAATGTTACCATTACTTATTTTAGCTTTGATGATAAAACTTAATCATTTTTACAATGTAACATCAGTAGTTATATATAATGAACTTACAATGTTAATTGAAATCATTGGCTCAATAAATCAAATAAATTTCAACTTAAAATGACAAGGGCTTTGTATTGACAAAACTAGAAATTTAAAAATAGGGTGTAAATTTATGTTAATGTTTAAACACACAGATACATTACAAAATCATTTTACAAGCAAGGTTTAACAACTTTGGTGCATGATTGAAGACTGATTTCATAATTTCGAACATTGTTTATCAAAATAAAAAATTTCATATTTTTAAAATACATTCCTATGACTCATAATAAATCAACTGAGACCAGTTTGTTTTTCAAGTTCTGCCAACATCAAGGCTTTATATGGTTATATAGATCATACAGCTTGGGCTACATACTAAATCATTGAACTTTGACCTACATAGGTATGAGCTATCACAAGCATGGGGCATGGTATTAGATTAGCCATTGGGTGTCATTGAATGACCTAATGTCAAGTCATTCATAACCTTAGTAGATTTCTGACCCACAGTGAGGTATTTAGTAAGAAAGTATAGTTTTGACCTAAAAGTTTATTACCACTGTTAGGTTAGCCTATATACAACATGTAGCTGTGAAGCTTTTTATAGCACACTGGGTGTATCTATGGTAATAGGTTTATAGAACCAACAGAATTCTTTCTAATTTATACAATATTATCTAACCAGTTTTCCTTCAATAATTTGATGAAAATCTTTCAGCCTGCAGACAGTACAAATTGATTATTTTTCATAGGAAATTTACCAGTCACAGTCAATGTATGTTATCAGGTCAAAGCCAAGTCGTTTTTAACATAAAAATGTTTGGAATTCAGCCCAACTGATAGATACAAAACAAAGACATGATCAATTCTTACAGGTTTAAACAAATACAAGAGAGAGACATGGTATCATCAGACCTGTTTAAAATACAGACTAGTCACATATTATATTTGAAGATTTCTCTGGGTATATGATTCACCAGTCTCTGAATATCCAATTTGGAACATAATTGTTCTCTAAATATAAATAATAAATGAATTTCAAATCGAAATGCATATGCTATATATACAATACTTAACAAAATATCTAAAATTGTGTATTAAAGATGTTGTTAAGAGGTTTTCTAACCATTTTAAGTGTGTCAGGGTTATTCCATTTTTTCATCAGATGAATCTAATCTTACAGAACTACTTAACTATTTGAGATGTGGATTTTGTAAAAGCTGCTAATAAATTATTCACAGCTTTGGCTATAAGAATATCTAAATAAAAGCTTTAAAAATCAAGTGGAACCATAAGACCAACAGACAGATTGAAAATTGGAATTATCCCAGATACAAATAAATTTTCAGAATTCTTCTGTACAATCTGTTTAAAGTTCAACCAATCTTTGAAAGTAATGTGTTGTTATTAACAGTTTCTATTAATTCAATGTAATATTAAAACTAACTGGAATTAGGTCACAAGGAGAGAGATATGTAGGTCAAGTTTTTATCATTTTCTTTGTTAGGTCAGTGTGTTTAAACACATTACCACATTGATTTTTCAGTCTAACATATGGAAGATATTCTCTAGTCATGTATTAATGATTGCACGTGAGATGATGTTGTTAGAAAACCACTTGAAGCAAATCAATAATTTATTATATAAACTGATGAATAATGTTGATTTGGAGCAAGGTTGAACAATTTCACACAATTTTAATAATTAGAAACTAATCGATGTTGAAACTTATATAATAATTACAAACAATAAGTCAATGGTAAGTAATAATATAAAACTATATGAATATCATTCTTGGTTTCTTTCTGAACTAGTTAAGCAACAGCTGTCCAAGTTCTACTGACCAAATTTTAATAGTGAAGAATTATTCTTTGTTTATTCTATTGAATGTTGAATTCTTTAACTTTGTATTTGTATAGGCAGCTGTATTCTCACTTGTATCTTTGAATGGTTTTACATAAGAATTACACTCTGAACAAGTTCCTTACATCCATAGGTATATCTTTATCACTGGACAAGGGCAGTAATTCATGATTTAACTAAGAGCTTGTTCTCTTACCTGATGCATCTGATAAGGTGGGGCTAGGAATGTTTAAATACTGGCTTTCTTTCTTTATTTTTTTCTTATGTTTCTTAAACTTCATTGGACTCTTTTCTTTGTTCTTCATTTTATGTGCTGATTTGGTTCCTGGTCCTGCTCTGGCATCAACCACCTGAAATTACAAAGAACATCCAGAAATGAAATGAAATGCATTAAAGTGCATCAGCACCGTAGGACATCTAGAGGTTATAGACATATCAAGCAAGGTCATTCATTGCTAAGAAACATGCATATAGTGCATGAACATTCACTTGTTCACTACTAACTTTACACCTTATATATTGTTCTGCACCTAAATGAAACAAGGAAGACTTTTCATAATACAACAAATAAATAGAAAGTGCAAGTCAGCATACATATTCACTCTACTTATATAAGCTTATATTACATATTATATAGCTTACAATGGTAAAATACATTGACTTGATATTTTAATTTGTACATCATATCAAAAGGACAAAATTCATTTTCAACCTCATGGATAACATTTCTTATTTATTTTTTCCTAGCCTTCAATTTAGGATGTGCATCAACATTTACAACAAATGCAAGAACCATGACTATTTTTCATCGCTGATAAAGGTCGAAAGAAGGATGCGATTCAATAACACTATTGAACAAGTTGCAGAATGTTTTAACTAGCTGGAAGCCAACAGGAGGTTTGCATTACACAAAAAAAAAATCATTATTCTGCAAGAGCCAGGCATAATACTGACAGAATGCAGAAGATAAATCTATAAATAACTTTCTACTAGTGGTAGTAAAATTACACTAGAGTATATTGTGCTATGAAAATCAATAATCAGGTACAATTCTGTCTAATATTGATATCCTGGTTTCTAGAGATTGACAACTCTCATAAGTCTGACATAAAATAATAAAACACTGAATAACGAATATATTGAACATGAAATATGGTTCAATTTCTAGGAGAATATTTTCTTGTCCAAGCAGCTACCAGATCATTTTGAACAATCTGTTCACAAAGAATGGCTAAATGGTTAACCCCTCTCAAAAGAACAAAATCCTTTTTTTTTTTACTATTGAAATACATTGTGTCAACAAAATCCTTTTTGTGCTGAAACCCCACCATATTTTGTCAAATTTGTTACCAGTTTATGATGTCAAATTAGGTTCAAACTGCAATAAACTAATAAATATGCAAAATGAAGTGATAATGAAGATATTTTTTAGGTGGTGCAACAAACTATTTTAAGTTCTTACTGATCATTACAGTGATTAAAGATTAGGGAACTAATATTATCAATGTGTATGAATATATCTACGTGGATTTATCCAGTAATTTCCTAATATAGATACATAGTTATAGGGATTTCCAAGTTGTATATAACCAATACATGTTATTGTTATTTCAACAAATTTCAAAATATCAGGGAAGTATATAGGTTGTTTACCTTTCAAGATGACTCAGTAATATTTATCAGGGGTGATCATAAGTTCTATTAATATTCATATTTATCATGTATATACATATTATATATAACAATGTTTCTTTACTAAATATCAGTTAGTGATAGTCCCCAATAGAAAGATAAGACATAAAATATATCAAACTGAAAGTCAAGCTATTTTTGCTGTTTTTGATTGAACTTTGTGCCCTTATTCTAAGGGGTTTAGGAGTACTAGTGTTATAAACTTATTCAATTTATAATGTTAACAGGACATCAATGAAATTCATAATCAATCAAAGTTATTGGAAGTTACCTTAACTTTGAATTGTGTAATAATTTTAATGAAATACAGGCCTATTGATTGAGTATAGAAATGGGTTAATTTATTTGAGTTGCACAGAGTTTGACCTAGCCAACAAACCAAGGACAATGAACTGTTAAGAAATCAATAGAAACCTCATGTAATAAGACTGCATTGCACTGCAGGCTAGAGTTAACCTAATGAAAAATATCTTGAAACCGGTAGTAGCTGTACTCAAGCTTTCTCAATACTACATCATCCTTAGACTATAAGTTTTTTGTACCTTACAGCTAACAAATATTGGCATATTTTCTGATTAATTTTCAATAAACACTGCTAAATTGTTCAACTGGTAAAAAAATAAAATTGTATTTTAAGTTATCCTGTGATGGAATTTGGACTGATCACTACATTTTACCACTGCCAAAGAATTCAAACTGTTTTTGAGTCTTTCAAACATGCTTTATCTTGTTTATGCTTGGATTGGGTAAGGTCTAAAAATACCCTGAGAAATGAAACAAAGAACAAAGATTTCCCTCCAACCCCATTTCTTACCCTTAACAACATGATAGTAATAGTAGTAGGAATGAGGACAGGGGTTATTGAGAGGCCAGGTCACAGCTCTGGGAACATTTCGAAATGACCAATACTAGCCAATTCAAACAAGGCAATATAAACAACACTAGTGTCCTGTCATTGGCTACTAAATCCATTCAGTATTTTAAGAATTTAGTTGGCATTAGTTGTTTACTACAGTAAATACTATACTTCCAACATTTCATATTTCAGCAAGTTTTCAGAATTTTACTTCTAAAAGTTCTTAGCCAAAACTATAAAGTATCTCAGCATAAAATATATGTACATCACCTAACCTTGAATATATGAGAGATAAAATGCATTTTGAAACAGTCAGAATAGGGCAGCATTTATACCTAAATACTGGCTTATGAAGGTTACATAAAGGGTACAGTTAAGAATTCTAAAAGACATAATTAAGAAATGAGAAAGAATTCTACAAGTTGAGAGTTTGACCTTTGTATCACACTGGTAAGAGGATTTATGTAAGAGTAATTATGGCCAGAGGGAGTTATATAACCCTCAACAACTGATCACAGGGTGTCTCTACAACTCAATACTCAAATAATGCAATATGTTGATATAATAAGGTCTTGTGAGACCAGTGTCCACTAACAACTGGTCAAAAGTTCACTGAAGCTTCCAGCAGATGGAAAAAGATCAACTGTGTTCAATGACCCATTTCTTTAGTCTTCAGGGTCATCAAGTGACCTTATATATTCAACAGGTTGAAACATTTCGATACATTTCAGCTACTTTCAGGTTTTGTTTTTTTAAAAATGCAACCAAATCTATCCGTCTCAACTATGTTAATAATTGTTTATTTTTTTATATAATAATTATAAGATGATAATTTATCAGGAAATGTCCTATTAGTAAGATATCTCTGGTCAGTTGACCTAGTAATTAATCAATTTGAAACTTGACCATAAGTTATCTGGACCACATGTTGTAGGTATAATTAATGAAATGTGTTGATGAATGAATAGTAATGAGGTATAATTTATGTAAAGGATGGAAGGAACAGCTTGTTTATAACATATTGAATAGTGATGTATCGAACAGAATCACTGAACAATATTTGACAGTTGACAGTTATATTCCAACAATTGAATCTTTTTATTAAGTGAAATATATCTATTATAGGCTGGAGTAATTACATACAAGCAAAAACTGTTGTCTATTTCCTATAAATCAAGAATCATTTCCACATATTTTACTTATAACAGAATTTAGTTGAGTTTTCCTTAAAAATTTCCACCTTATCATTGGAAAAACTGTTCACACATTTTCATTAGAAACCTCCAAGCCATGGTTGCTGAGGTGATTTCTGTACCAAACAATTCATTGTTCTTTCTTACATAATAAGGTGGACAGTCAAGTATTGTTATTTGATTCAAATTAAAGCCACACCTTCATTGTGTGTCAATAAATGCTGTAATTGAAATAAAATTACAGCCCCTTTCTCTTCTTTCATTGTTATAACCCTATTTACGACACATTAATTATAGACAATTTAGTGTCGGCCATCAACACCTTGTTGGTCATTTGAAAATCCTAAATCCTCTAGGTCAGATTAATTTTTTTGTAGACCCATAAATATTTTGAACTGAACTATGGCGAAGGGAATCTGGGAGTGATTGGTGATGTATTTGGAGAGGGAATTAATTCAATTGAATGAGAACAAATAAATTTTCTGCTTGCAGCTTTGTGTATTTCTTCAATAAAACAAATCATGAATTATAAGAGGTATCAGCAAGCTTAGTGCTTGCATAATTCAGCTATAAATCACATCAAAATGTATTGCAATATTAGATGTTCGGTCAGACCAACAATAAATTTTGTCCACTTACATGTCACTGACACTTGATTTGATATTACATCATAACAAATGAACTCATTAGTTAGATTGATGAAGTTTTCAATTTAAATTGTGCCCCGGAGGAGGAAAAACTAGTCATTCAATAAACATGAGACTCCACCCACCTACATTCCACATTCTTGATTGTACAATAAAAGTACATTTCCTACTGCTGCTACACAAGAAATACTTTAACAGTAACTTAACAATTTTTTGAGCCAAAAATATGTTAATTATTCATAGTACACATTCTTGTATTGATCATTTAAAGCAAGGAACCCCACATCCATTTCGCCCTCAAAGGAACAAATCTGTCTGATTTTCAATAAAAAAAGATACTCATTTGAAATATAGATTTTTAAAGTCTAAAACTTTGATTGACAAAACAAACTATTGTCTGCCAATGACAAGGTGAAAAGTTTATCATTAAAAGTCAAACTGTGACATTCAGTGATCAGTAAAGAGATTATTTACAGTAAACATTTTTAACCAACTATAGAATCCTATATGGTATAATGATGAACCAAGAACCAAACAAACACTTGGAGTAGAGCCTGCAAAATAGCTATTAAATCCAAAAACAAGCTTCCTAGTGAGACTGCATTTCCTATGTATGTTTCAATTTGATAATGAACAACTTTAACAGAGCTATTTCACTTAAATATTACATGAAATTAAATTAGGTAAATGTCTTGACATCCTTTTTTCATTTTATTTGAGACACATACAAGGAGTGTTTGTAATGTTCAGTCAAAGACCAGTTTGAATGACCAGTAGAATAGACAAGTGGAAATAGTTCTAGTGGAAGGTATCTTGAAAGATAACACTTAGAACTACAGACAGGGATGGATTATACTAAAAGAAATATTATAATTTGGTAATCAATCATAATTCAAGCTGAAACTAATCTACGAACCATCACAACACAACATAGCTCTTGCTTCTGACCAGGGACCAATACTTTTATCTTCTTTCACTTTAACAAAACGGATAAATTTTGTGTATTGCCAACTGCTAAGGAATCCGAGAACCTTTACATTTCGTTTTTTTTTTTTTTTAATGAACTGGATGAATCTGTGTAATGTAAAAGGTAACTATTATGTTCCTGTTTATTGATATGTTATTGAAGAGAGTTAATTAGGAAATAACAATAAGCATGGTCACTATTCGAGGAATGTGTAGATAATGAACTATTGACCACCAACAACAAAATAATACTTAATGTTTATTTTTTGCCATGTCATCACTGACTATTATTGACATATTCCAGATCTAAACTCCGTTTAAACTATCAACAATTATTATCCATTATTTCATCTGACTTCAGTTTGAACTTAATACACTCTTAATTAGCTTTGGCTTCTTAAATATAAACAAATACATTCCATAATTTTATTCATGAATATTTCAGTTTTTTATTTTCATGTCACAATTTTTTGTTTTAATACAACAGCTTGTAATCACAACTAACCAACCACAATATCTAATGACAATGAAAAGTAACCTACATTAAAAGATTTTTCTGATAAAAGTCATATTCAGGTGGAAGATAGAATCACTCATGATTCAAAGAGCACAGAGGTAAATTCAAGGACAAAATCTCATACACAGATTACATAACAATTTACAAAATTCAACTGCAAATTTGAAATATCATCTCTGAATTCCCAGTAACATATGGGAAATTTGTATTTAACAATGAAAGTATGAAACTTGATGAGATTAGTTAACTTCTTCAGTCATGAACCGTTAACATCTCTCACTGGATCTTTCTGATTTACAATGTAAATATGGACAATGACTCAAGTTTGCTCTGTAAATAATTTCTTTAGTCTGCCATTAACAAACAAATAGTTTCAATTGAAAATGGAGCACTCATGAAAGGAGAACAGTTTTGAAAACTGGATTAGAAAAGGAATTACATCAAAAATAGAAGAAGAGGGACTATTATGGTCATGACTATTAAATGTATAACTGGTAACAAAACAGCTGGAAAGGTTGAACTAAAAGTTGGCAGTTCTAATCTGAACTACTGACAGCTATCCATTTGTTGTCTGTAAAGTCTAGTTTATGTGGCATCATTCTAGATTGATAAGTTTTAAATCTAGCACTGACCCAGTCTCATCTTGTCTAGACTTTATCACAATATGTTTTTTTTTTTCCTTAGTAAGTTACAAGTTCACATCAATAATGTCTGAGGAAGGCTGTCCACAGCAAACATTATATTGGAATGATATATTCTTCTTGTAAGTGTTTAGCTCGATTTAAAATGGTGGCAATATCATTGAGCATTAGAATAGCTCTATGCTAAATTAAACCATAGTTTTAAGTATGTACATGTATAACAATTTGACTTGAAGTGAAATAGTTGGACATTTACATGTAGTTTATCATATTTCTTTGCACCATGGAGTTTATCTTATACAGGATATGAAAAGTACAGTCCAGGTTAGGATATCTATAAAATATTTACTTATTGATATTTCAAACAAAATAGTTAAGTTTTTTTTATAATAATGATTAAAGCAGTTATCATTATTTTATAGAAGTAAGCTTATTTTATAAGGGTTATCATTCTCTCTGATTAAATGATAATAGTTTAAACAGTTTATTGTGTAGTATAAAAGAAAAATGACCCTGCAGCTAAATTGTGGATTTAATTATTCTTTCAAATTAAGAGAAAACAATAGTCTGTAAATAAATCTTTTTAATGGTGAGATAATCCAATTATATTGATCAACTGTTATCAATTAATATCATCATTATCAATCTACTAGATAATCAAATCTAGAATCTTTCCTGCTAGCCATGTTGACACCTTTGTTACATTCTAAACAGAAGTCATGATCGGTAGAAAGAGAAAAAAAACAAAAAATTATTTAAGTTGTAAAGTAAAATAACTTTAACTTACATGATGCCAATGACGATTGGTTCCTTCGGGTAATTTTTTCCATCTTTTAACCAATAAAACACAAGCATTACATATTTCTCCTTCCCGAGAATCAGTAATTCGGAAACAATTTTCAAACTGATCCTGGTATTTGATGCTGTCTGTAAATCGTGAGCTGGATGACTTGGCTCTGCAGATACAGCAGCCACTTAAACTTCGATAGATTTTTGGTTTGTGGAAACTGAACATGATTATGATTTGTGACACACACTGAAATAGTAATCAAAAGTAGAATGAAAACATTAATCCAAAGACAAGAAGAAAGAATCAAAGTTGACTGTACTAATACATTATATATCAGTATTGGTAAGCTTATACAACAATCCAATAAAACAAGTCAAGCTAACACGAATGACACACAAGATCCTGAATATTTCCAAATGTTGTAATCCAGTAAAAAATATTCCTGTATGAAAGTTTAAGTTGGTAATCACACATTACTTAATAATGAATCACTCCCTCATACTTTGAACTAAATATAATCCCACCTCTCTCTTTCTCCATTAAAACTGTAGGCCTAGTGGTATATTGATAAAACTAAACACATTTCACCCACTAAATATTCAATACACCCACATAATGATAGGACGGTCTAGTCTATTACTCAACAAAGTAAGTCATTTAGAGATAAATCTATATAAACTTTTCTTTGTAAGTATAATTTATTGGAATCAAGTCAAATATTTCAAGTCGTTCAACCAAAACCTTGAGTCTGAACACAGCTCAAATTGTTCAGCTTAACAGTTTTATTTTCTAAACTCTATTGAAGCAGAGTTCATTGTCCCCATTTCTAGTTCAGTCAGTCAGTGCATGACCGTGCATGAATGACTTCACCAAGAACTTTGGTTCATGACTCCTGAATCAAAATATCACTGGTTATCAATACCTTCACCATTGAAATTCAGTTCATGACAACAGGCCTAAATTGTCAAATTACTTTTTCTAATTATCCCTATCTATGTGATACTTTATTAGGCTGTCAGTGAGAGCCCACTCTTCAGCCTTTAGCCTAGTCTACTCAGACTGAATATAACTTATCTCGACAATATCAGAATCAAACTCTTTTATCTCCGACCAACATGGTTAAATAAATAATTCGTATATATGACATTGAACCAACAGACAAATTTGAGATTGAAAAGGATACCTATTGAAGTCACTTGAATTAGGCCAAATACGTCATTACAAAGGCATGAGTTAAAACCCGCCCTTCTAAATTTAACAGCCGACAATCAAAGATTATTTCAAGAAATCTTTACACTTTCAGCATTCAATGGGGAAAAGTTGAGTTATCGGAACTGGTTGTGTCATGAACGACTAGAGTTGAAATTAACATAAAATCTGAAGTAAAAAACTCTTTGTGAAGAACCGTGAACATGAAGACACGGAAGTTTATGATGACGGAAGGAAAGCACGTAATTTACTTTGGTAGATCTACGTAGGCCTAGATCTAACGGGCAAATTTTAAAACTTTGAATTAAAATTCAGATTATCTTGAATGACTTTTGGATCTTCGAATGTCTAGTACATATCATGGAATACAAATTTACAGATGACAAGAGTATTACAAGTCTTTTTTTCACATTGACAGTCAAATTTCCCAATCATCGGCAAAGCCACCTTTCCAACAATGGCGATTTTTACTCAAGAAAATCGGTCAGGACACAAAAATAAGAGAAAAATTCGCGAATTCATATATTTTTCAAAAGACAGCTGTACAGACTTAATACCCACCTTAAATTCGTACCCTTTCGATGGTTGTCAGTAATAAAATATGTATCCAATCGTTTAAAATTGAAGTTTTCTTCTCACTACCGTCGGCATGTGTGCTGTCGCGTAGTAAGGTTGTATCAGAACTGACTCTCGACAAATCAACGTCAAGCAGCTGACAACTACTCTCGTGTTATCTCGTCCAAATATTATGGGATGTACGAGAATTCATAGTTCAGTCGACGCCATCTTGTAAAGAAAATTCTTATTTCGCGCCTAAAGGCATAAAAAAGTGATAAATATAGGCTTTCGAATGCTTTATTTTATGTTGTCATAACTAGTAATTAATACCTGCAACATTGATTGAGTATTATCATCAATATTTTGGTCAAGAAGTCATTGATGACAACTATTGAAACCTTTGAACACCAGATAAGGATTGACACAAATTGTTCAAAAATGGAGAAAAAATAGCCAAAGTGACTTTAATGTGGAGCTGACAAGCCTAACAGAAGCATTTTACTATAGAAACTTTATAGACCTGTAATTGATTGATTTGTAAGTGTACCAGATTCGGTGTCAAGCTGTATTTTGGGCTTGTGTTGGTTAAAAAAATTGAAACTTCTGGTCAACGTCAACTGGTCCCCATTTATATCATAGCCCAACCTCTTTCAAGCACTGTCACAGTCAGTCAGGTGCTTGAAGGTCTGAAGCAGGTCTAGGCGCAGCCTGTTTGGATATGCAACAAAACTATTTTCTAAAGAATATGTAGTGACATTTGCATACCTTAAAAATCACCATTTTAACTCCCAACTGACAAAAAATGTAAATTGCAGCACTAACACTAAGGCTGCCAACACTAACAGGGAAGCTGTTTCAGATAATCAGAATAACTGCAATGCATAACGTTTTTCTTGTTTCATAATGGGTTGCTAATATAGCATAGCCCTTTTGATGATAACTGTTGTTCTATTTTAGATTTAAAATGTTTTGGAAGTTTAACATATTAACCAATACACATATAGATAGTCTACTAGAAAAAGAGGTTTGTTGTTTTTTTTTAACCTGGCATTAGAACTATGTAACTCATCAATGTCAGAAAAATTTGGATACCATTTGTTTGATTTGATGGTGGACCTTCTTATTGACTTTCATTTCATTTGAAGTCTATTGTTTTGGCATTCCTGGTACCTGTTCATAAGATGCTGTGCATACAAAATTTGACTTTGAGGCTCATTTTGAAGTATTTGTATCATTATTTTTATTCCAGGATGTCACATTACATGAACTTATGGATGAGGATGATATTCTTCAAGAATGTAAAGCTCAAAATAGGAAATTAATAGAATTGTAAGTTAAAGCTTTGGAAAAATTGGTTCTTTTCTTCTCTGCATTTATTATACTTACATTGATATGTCTATTTAATCTTGATATTGATAATCCTAATGTCTGATCCTCATCTCATACAGCCAAAGACCTTTGTTCTACTGGCTGTGAACATAAGGTTTTTTTGAACGACTTTTTCAATATGTATTGCCAAAGTGGTGTAGAACATCTCAACATGAAACAGTTTGCTGCATTTATTGTAGTTGCACAAATTTACAACTCTCATAATGATTAATCAACTATCGGTGTTATAACACAGTGTGTTACACTATAATGTCATACAATTTCTTTTCAGTTTGGTTTTACCTGAGAATATGGAAGCCATGGTTAATATGATAACAACTGAACCCTCAGAGGATGTTGAGGAAAAAGTTAGATTTAAGTAAGATATATTTTTGTTATATGAACATTGGTGAATATTTTGTTTTGTGAATCAATGTGATATTGTATATTTGAACAAAATGAATTAAGGCATTCTCTCTTTTGTACAATGAACACAATGTTGCATAGTGCTTGAGACTTTGTTTCAACAAATCTCTTTTGCAGCATCTCAAATTTATAATGTCTCAGTAGGCATATCAAAACTGTTAAACAAATATGGGCTACATAAATTTGTTGTTATTTTGTAGGTATCCTAATACAGCATGTGAATTATTAACATCTGATGTGTCACAGATAAATGATAAATTAGCTGGTGATGAAGACTTAGTAGATAAACTTTATTCCTTCTTGGAATCAGAGGCACCATTAAATCCATTATTAGCCAGTTTTTTTAGTAAAGTTATGGGTATTTTAATAACTCGGAAGAGTGAAATGGTAATTACTAATATATCAAGTATAATTGATAAAAATAAACACAATATCAATCTGTACACATATTTTCATATTTTTAGCAAAGATATTTGTGTATATCTAGGTACAACTCCTAATCCACTACATTTTCTGACAGTTTAAGAGGCAATAAACAAAATATATGATTTATTTATTTCAATGATTTTATTATTTATGACCAAAAATAAATTAGATTACTGAATTACTGAAAAATACATAAATATCAAGTTTGAAATGGTTTATAACTTCCTTCTTGTATGGTAGAGTTCCTCATTTGAATGTATGTTTCTATAATACCAATATATTTTCAGATATTTGAGTATTTGAAAGGTCGTAAAGATTTTGTTGGTAGTTTATTAAATCATATAGGTACATCAGCTATAATGGATTTATTATTACGATTAATAACCTGTATAGAAACATTATCAACTAGGAGAGCTGTAATTGAAGTAAGTTTATTTTCTTGTTTAGCTGGTTCTTTGTTGAGGTAGTCAAATTTATTTTCACCAGCCTTGATTCATAAGAACTTCATACTATTCAAATATTCAATTAATCTTCTGCAAACATTACATTATCAGCGAAGCAGTCTATGGAAAAACTTTCACTTATTATACACTGCATTTGATTAATAAAGTTTATTTTGATTTAATTATATTTGGAATCAAGATAGTTACTCATTTCTAACTAAATCTATATGATAGATGTTTTTAAGTTAAAACACATACTTAACATGATATTTCAGTGGTTAAATGAACAGAAAGTAGTAGAAAGATTAGTAGCTAGTATAGTACCAGAGAAAGATGAAGATGTAAGTAGTAATTTGTTAGTAATTGGGGTTTACTCCAAAGATCATGTACTAGAAATCAGTAGGGATATGAGTTGTAAAGTTGTTAAAAGTGTAGTTTTTTTAAGAGAACTGTAATATGAACTGTGTGTATTGTAGATTCACTGTAATGCAGCCCAATCATTATGTGATATTGTAAGATTAGGCAGAGAACAGATTATGCAGCAACAAGATTCTTCTGACCCTGATCCCCTTTTAATCACTATGGAATTGTAAGTACTTCTGTGATTTTTTTTTCAAAATAATTTAAGGAGTTGAATGATCCATATATACCTTTAAGGTTTTTGTAGAAAATTGCAGATCAACTATTACCAAAAGTTATTTTGCTCTGAACTAGAGAGTTCAAAGTGTCTATTCAAACAAAAAGGTCATTTTATTTTTTTCTTTTGTTTTTCAGAGAAGAAACTGTAAGTCAATTATTATGTAATATGTTAGATACCAATAAAAACGAATCAGTGTTAGTAAATGGTTTATTTGTTATACATACCTTGTTAGAAGTTCGGAGACAAGGGTAAGCTATTTATAGTTATCATTTATTAGTGATGGTGCTGACCATGTGACGTGAGCTGTACAGTAACATGATTAAATGGCATTTCTATTGAATCATTTTGTGTCAATGAATCTAGACTAATTCTCAACCAATGATATAATAAGAAAATATCCAACTAGATCATTGGTTGAGTGTTTAAGTAAAGCATTCAGTGGATTTTCTAAATTAAAAGGAAAGTCATCAAATCATTTACTTTACTAGCTGGTGACCTTAACTCTTTTCAACAAAACTTCAAATTAAGGGCATTACTGACCTTCCCACATTACAGTTATTACTGAATTACTAATGGCATGATAGTGACAACATGCTGTGTTTTTGCTCTGGAAAACACTGCATAAGATTTTTTCCTCAAAACACATGGAAAGCATATCAGCTGCTAAAACAAATTTGTATTATGAATGAATGTTCCTTAAGAGCATTGTAAATGTTGAAATATTGGAATAAGTTCTGAACAAGATGAATAAGTTGGAGTAGTTTGTTTTCTGCCTTCAGGCCGGAAGGTTCCACAGATCAGATGTCACAGATAGATACTGATAGGTTATCACAGGGTGTTAATAGTGTTTTAACAGCTATAACTCCTCGATTAAAAGACTTCCATAATTTACTCTTAGATCCACCAAAGGTAAGTTGTTTTATATCTACATAGTGTTTTCAATCCTTATTTGTGAGAGCATAAGATATTTTGTAAGAATTTATTTTGATGAATTTGCAACCCAAAACAAAGGTAAAACATAACATAAATTTACTTGTAAATGAAACAAGATATATCAGTTATCGTACTGCAATACATAAAAAGAATTTGTTCAGAAGGGCTATGATTGAAACAATATGATTTTTTAAATTTCAGCAAAGATTTAGTGCAATGCCAACCTCTGCTGGTCATTTAGACCCACCTTTAGGGAATACCCGTTTACAAATAGCTAAATTAATTACGGCATTAATATCAACTAATACCCATCTTGTAAATATAGAATTAACTAATTTAAATACTGTCCATGTTTTATTGGTAAGTATTTGATTGTTTTTTAAATTTATGATAGAATTTAAGGAACGTGTCTAAACCTAATTGCCCTTATTGTGTTTATATAAATTTTTCTGTTGTGATAAGAATATATTTGTAAGAATTCATGATAACAATGGAATTTATTGTCTTGTTGTTTGATGTTTGTTACATTTGCTGCTGTCAGAGACTTCAATTTGTTATGATGTATATTTAAGCAATACTGTTCTATTTTCAGGATCTTTATTTTAAATATATATGGAATAATTTTTTACATACCCAAGTAGAGCAATGTTTATCTACAATACTCACTAATGTACCTATTGATATAGATGGTAATAGACAACATCCTTTATTAGCTCAGGTACAGTTCTTGTTTCTACTGACACTTTACTGCTAACAGTATTACATCATTATTTTTTCACCCTGTTGACCCGTCTGTTCACATTTGGCTTGTGCTCACTCTACGGACTATAATTCTTTACAGATTCTTTTGATTTTTTGATCAATGTCATTATGAAGATGAACCCTATCGATTTTCGAGATGATCTAATAATTTTTCACCAAAATGTGGTTTACAAATTAGTGTATTCACCCTATTAGCTATTTAGAAACTTTTGCTCACTCTTCAATCAACAATTCTGTATGGATTCTTTTTGTTTTTATATGCCTACACATAGTATGGAAGTATATTGTTGTCTGTGCGTCCATTCTTGGCTTGTGTCCTCTATACAGACTACAAACAATTTGTATTTGCAATCAGAGCTGCTGAAGGGCGAATGTCACTTTGCTTCTCAAGGCTTTCTTTTTACTGTTTGAATATAACCTTTTGCAAATGTCTCAGAACTTTTATTTTACTATTGTGGTTTCTAACTGTTTCTGTTGATTTTTTTTATTAGCAGTATTGGCATGGATACATGGACACTAAATTATTGTTGTTTTGCTTTTTTTCTATAAAGATAGTAGGCCTACATTTTAAGTAAAATGTCTCTTAGATTGATATTGATTTTTTGTAAAGATTCCCTACTTATCCTAGGCATGTTATTCTAGTTATTTTCAGGGTGTAAACTAATAGAAAGATTAATTAATGAATGGGAAGATAATGATGTTTATGAGTAAGTTTTTATTTTCAATCTCTTGCATATTCAGTCTTGAGTAATTTTGGTGCAACTGTTTTCTTTTGTAGCATGGGGATACCTTGTGAAATGTGACTTGCATTGTGGCACCAACTCTCCCTAAAAATACCGTAAATCTGATTCTTTATCAAGTGCCTTTAAGAGTTTGTTCTTTTAAAAAATTTCTTTCTTGGATGGACTTAGATCTAGTACAGATTAGTTATAAGACTAGTTTATTTATTTATTTATTTATTTGTAGGGGTAAAGAAAATGGTAAACGAAAAGGGTTTATGGGTCATTTAACAAAAATAGCCAATTGCTTAGTGAATGCTAGAGAAAAAGGAGATAATTGTGATATAATCAAAGAAAAATTCTCAGGTAATCTAATGTGATAAAAATTAAGATTGAGTGTTTTTTTTCTATGTTTCTTGCAAAGGAATATCAGGTGTTTTGAAGACCGAGTAAGTCTTGCCTGTTAGTAATCTGATGATACTTATAATTGCAATAGATTAATAAACTTATTATAAAGTCATTTTAAGGCTAAAATATTATTTCTGATTATAGAACTTAGTGAAGAAGAGAGAGAAAAATGGGAGAAATTTGTCAGTAATTCACTAGCAGATGTTAATAAGAAAAATACAATAGAATTTGTAAGTACTGATGCTGTTATTAGTATTTTATCATTAACAAGATAAGAATATACAAAGAACACTCCACCAAATTTTAAAGGACAAAAGTTAAAAGTTAGTCTGTATCAGACTGAAGTAAGTGATATAAAACTTTTATTTGTTACAGTTACGGAATCATACCATAGCTTCCAGTAGTGAAGATGATGACTCTGATTTTAAAGACATTCCATTTCCTCAGGATACTGCCATGCAACAGGTAAAGTACACATCTTCTCATTTGAGTAGCATCAAGTATAGATTTGTCAGGAAATTACTAGCTAATGGGTACAATATTACTTCAGAATCTGTCAGTGGATTGCGAGAAGATTTATAGAAAGAATATTATTAGATAGCTACTGTCAAGTTAATGAAAATATATTTTTATCCATGGATCTTTTTGACATGTTCTTTATTTTGCTTGTGTAACTAGAAAACTAGAATCTTTTGTATTGCCTGGTGATGGAGAATTTGAAGGCATGAATATAGAAAGGATTTGAGCTATCTTCATTGTTGTTTGTTTCCACTGTAGACTTAAATTGCTGCTGGTTCATGTTAATCTTCACTACTTTTGATTGAGCAATTGACCCAGCTGTCTCAGTTGAAACATAGTTAATTGGTTGTTAATAGTAATACTGAGATCTGTATCAGTGTTATTGGTTTCAAGTTATTTCTGGGTTAGAATAAATTCTATAAGACAATGTAAATGGGAAGTGTAGGGACTATAAGCAATGTAAGGCTATCTATGTTCAGGGCTACTGGGATATTGTTGCTCTAGACATTGTTATTGCCTGCTTTTATTATCAGGCCTTCTCTGATTACCAGTTACAACAAATGACCAGTACGTTTATTGATCAGTTTGGTTTCAATGAAGATGAATTTGCTGAGCAAGAAGATAGAATAGAGTAAGTTTCCCTTTAATTGATATAACCAGGCCAATATATTTATTCTGTAGTAGTTTGGAATATTTTGTTGGTCAGAATCAAACTCATAGCAAGATTTAACACATCATGTATTGCTGTGAATGTTAACTCTGCATTATTATTTTATTCACATATCTATAAATATCTATAGATATATTTGATAAATGTTTAATAGGTATATTAATAGACAGAATAATTGTAACAATATGAATATGACCTCAATTGGGGATATCATTATTCTTATGATCTTATGTATATACAAATCTATATTTATGTTTTGCCCTTCATTCATTGTAGTGCACCATTCAACGAAAGAATATCCAGTATAGATTTTAATATCAAGGCTGACGAAGAAAATGTGAGTTTTTTTAATTGAGATATTAAATTACACACCTCATCATAATTTATATGTAAATTGCTTTTCTGTCTTTCCATATTGCAATACTGGATTTTGTTTTGATCATGTTTGATGATCAAGGAGTTCGAAATTCGAGGTATTTCAATATATGATTTTGGATTTATGTCCCTTCACTCATCATAAACACATGATTAACAAATATTGACCTGAGAATGAATAATTGCTAAGAGCAAATTTATTAATGATAGAAAACTAATTTGATATTGATATTTTTTCAGACTGCTAATACAGCTATGTTTGAACAAGCTTGTAATCAGAAAATACAACAATTTGATGATAATGATAGTGATGAAGATATCTGGGAAGAGAAACCGTTAACATATGATAAAAATTCACTGCCTAATATGAACCATAGACCAGTGTAAGAAAACAATTATTTACCTTATGCAAAAATAAATGACCGAAATTATTGCAGATTAAAGATCTCTTAACTAATGTAGGAATTTAAACTCAAAAATGGTAAGAAACAATTTTGTAATATAATTATAGCATTAACGTTATCATATATAGACAGAGTAAAGTGTGTAGTCATCTTTATGCTGTAAATATGAAATATCTAAGCAAATTGATTCTATGATATTCTTTAATTTATGAAATGATGCTATATCAGTCAATAACCATATATTTATAGTCGAAGTGGTGGTACAGGGGGAGATCACTCTAGTGAAGAAGATAGTACAGATAGTGAAGAAGAATTAAATTCACCTCGTATTATTGTTCAGAAAAAAACTAAAGCAGAGAAAATGGATGTTGATGGTAAATAGATTTAATCAATAGAGGTTGCTTTTGATGTGTTCATATTGATTACTTGATTTTTTTTTTTTGAAAGAAAAGTTTTAGAGATACATATGCTGAGAAAAAAAGAAATTTGTTAGTTTATTAAACTGAATCATAAATGTTTCAGGTTGGACTGCGAATTTCGATGATGTAAATACTGAAGGTGCTCATGTTGCTATGGAAACAACCTCACCATGGGATAATGTTCCTGTAGCTTCAGCAACAGATAATGATCAGGAGAAATGGGCTGACTTTTCAAGTAAAATACCAGCCAATGACAATGAAGAAAACTGGGCAGATTTTTCAAACTTTCCTTCCACAGAAAATGCTACAGAGAAAAAGTATGTTATCAAATTATGTTGCAGTAAATTTTCCTCACTGATCACTAGTTGTAGATTATCTTCAATACAGTGAATCAATCTTTTCATTACAATCATGTTGAAATATAAGCGGTATCTAGAGTTTTATTTACCCACCTTCTGTTGTTGGTGCAGGAGTTCTAATTTGATCATAAAGCTCTTGAAGATGTTCAAATTGTGGATCTTAATTTCTAGTTTTGTTATTTATGTTATATTTTACAGTAGTCCACATGAACCCAGAAATAGTTCTCCTATCGCCATGGATACCAGTGATAACAATACTGGTAATACTAGAAGTAGTGCCTATGGTAAGGGTTTCCTCAGATCTCTAGAATTTGTACACAAAACTTTATGAAACAAATACAATAGGTTGAACATGTGTAAGGCGTTTGAGGTACTCTAGCTTACAACTCTAGCTCTACCTAGCATAAAAAGCATATTATAAAGAAACCCGTTACCAGTACTTATATTGTTATTATTATGATTATAGAAGTAAGTGCTGCAGTGAATATTGAAGATCAGTTACAAGAAGCTAAGAATAGTGAGAATATTAAAAAGAAAGTTGAAGATGTAACAGTAACTGATATTACCAGTGTTTCTAGTGAATTTAATACTGTACCATCATCAAGGTAGAATATACTTCTTTATCAGTATGACCAGTGATTTACAAAATATGTAACAGTACTATTCGACCACATTGATTTCCTACTTTCTAAATAAGCTAGGATTGAAAAACAATTTCTCCACATTCAATGTATATGTAATTATATTCTGCTAGAAAAAGAATAAGTTTGTTAAATCAGGTTCCATTGATTTTGTGAGATTGAAGACTAAAATATAGATTTGATAGATAACAAAGACAACCCCATGCAGTTTACAAATATGAAATTTTGTCGATATTCTTGTCATGCATTGCCAGTATTCTCTTATGGTATGAACTATCTTGAAAACAGAAGGTACAGTCACAATGGTGTCAGAAAGTTGTGCCTAATAGAGTTTTAGTGTAGTTTAGATTAACTATAATGATGTATTTTGTGATTTCAGTGTTAAAGAAAAAAAATCAGAAGTATCAAGTCCCAAACCTACTGTCAATAAAACTGATGAAAAGTATGTAGAATCTAAAATAGTTTACTGTTTAACAACATTCTAACTTCAGTTGTTTTCTATTAACATTCAATAACAACTGCTAAACAATGGCCTTATTCTCAAAAACTGAACTTAGATGTAATACAGAATTATGTATGCTAAATTAGAAAATCAATTTCTTGACCATTTACCTGACCCCCAGTATTTTATATGTAAAGCAAAAGTATACAGACAATTTGAAAGTTCATCGGTAGTAACAATTGATTTACTTGTATTTGCTAACTAAAGGAGGAAGTTTCGAAATAGAAATAAAGGAAAAGGTGTACAAAGTAATTTTGAGTGAGTGAATATGTTGCTTACTTGTGGTATCTGTTGTAACGAATTTTTCATATTTTTTGCTTCGATCTTGAAAAAGCTTCAAAGAAATTTTCTCTGTGTGGTTGTCTACTATAGTCAAGCTTTATTTATCTTGTTCTTTTGGTGTATAGAGAGTTGTTATTGCTTTGTATTTATTTTTTTAGATACATGAGTTTATAACGTATTGTATTGATCTGAATTTAGAATTTTTCTGACTAGGTGTTTAACTTTCTACATGGAAATATGTAAAATTTAGAACTGATTCAGATATCAAGATATCTATTTATATATATATCTATTGTGAAGGTGTAAAAGTTATAGTTCATAACTCATTGCCAACATTCTTGTAAGAGATTAGAAAAATATAATTTATGGTACAATTTGAATAATCAAAGAATAACAATGCTTCATAGCTAAATAGCCACTTTTCGAAGATTTCAAATTATGTATGGTCCGCTACAGCATTAAGTATTCATATGCTAAATATTTTGATAATTTTGTGAATTTCAGCTTTTTAACTAGCAGTGGACTAATGAAGGATGCCAATACTGTAGCACCCCCATCAGCTGGTGATGCTGCTAGTTTACAAGATAATAGTGCCAATGATGATAAAAAACATACTGTGACAGCATCCAGTGAGGCTGTTACAGAGGCCAGGTAAATTACATGATGGAAATTAAATTGATGTCTGATTTATAGACTTTCTATTGTACTACATGTCACAATCATGTTCAGAGTTTCCTGTATATAATTGTCACAATGTCAATGTCTCATGAATTCTTCAAATCTGCTGCAAAGCCTCAAAAGTTAAACTATCTGTAAAACTTTTTTGACAAATTCTGAATCCGGGAGCTGATTAAAATTTGAATGTGTAGAACAAGTACTAGATATAGTTTAATAATATGATTTTAAAATTCAATTTTTCCAGCACTGACTCCTCTTTTATTTTCTAATAGTAAAGAGGATGTTATTTGTATTTCTAGGGCTCAAGCAAAAGAAGCTTTAGATAAATATGATGATGCGATTAGTACATCTAATACAACTACTACTACTACTCAACCTAGTGTTACTAATGTTCAAAATGGACCGGTTTGAACCCAAAACATTGTGATAGGTACTTATATAAATTATATCAAGTATATCTCAGTCATTTAGTGAAATTATAACTGAGAGGACCTTAATGATATCTTATAATTATCAAGAAACCTGGTCATTAATTAAGTATTTATCTTATAATCTAATATAATAGTAGTGTACGCTCTTAGAGCATACTCTGAGCATTGGCTAAATAGCTATTAATGAATGTGTTGAGTCTTAAGAATTATGATTGAAATTAAATGAAAATTGGTTATTATTTAGCTTATCCTTGTTCACATTGTAATTTCCTGAGATTTGACTGAAACTGAATTTATACAGTAATATTTATTGTCCGGTTGAAGAAATTAGTCGACACAGAGGTATATACATGGTGACTTATATATATTTACTTTCATCTATCTGATTTAAACACACAAGATATTTCTTTTCGATTTTAAATCAGAATGTTACATTCATGTTACATTAAATTGGGTTGTGTATCATCTTTATAAAAATATCAAAATTATCATTCATTTCACCCTGAGCCCTGTGAGAATATTCTTTCTGTTTCATTATTTATATCTCTAATCTATCTTGATTATAATCTGATTTCCTGAAAGTGTAATGTTTTCTATTTATTCAGTATACCAGCCGATAGAACTCCATTTCCACCATCTATACTAGCACTATTTAGAAAGAATATCTAATATAAATATGATATATTGTGATTAATAGTGATAGTTGACCTTTCATATTGAATCTGAATTTAGAACTTTATATTCTAAAAAGTGTTAACAGTAGCTGAAAATTGAGTTCTATCAGCTGGTCTATAGAGTATATAGGACTAAGATAAATGTAGATTTGAGTCTATTTTTGATTTGAAGCCTGTTAAATTATTGTCCACCACCTAACATTAGTAGAGGAGTTACTTTGTGTGGCAGCTGCCATGTAAATAATGCCTTATATTGTACAGTGTACATTGGTTATAGAAGAGAATTGTGATGTTTATAGAAATCTATATTTTAGCTTGTGTTGATATACTTGTATAGTTTATGCCTAGAGCTAACTTATATAGCTCAGATTTTAATGGAATTCTGAGAGCTCACATGTCTCATTTGTTATTATATTATGTTGTTGTTTATGTAATGTTTATCTCCATATTTTAAAATTTCTTACCTTTCCTTAACCTTGACCAGTTGGCTGTTGGCTTAGTTGCTTATTAAAAAAACATGTAGGTGAAAAATTGAGGGTTTGCACAAGGAATTTTATTGCTGTGTACAATAGAAGACATGAAGTCTATTTCTATATTGGTGAAAGAATAGAGAACATCTGTTAAAAAGTGTTGTGTATTAGAAATTTAACAATGTGAATTTAAACATTTAAATATTTTGTTGTTTAGTATAAGTGTTGGTATGAAATAATGAATGTTACCTTTCTTTTTGAACTTCAAGCTTAACAGGTAAATATGAAATTCTGTTAATATTTTATTATGTAAGATGATTTAACCCGAACATGAATATGTCCATCTTTATCACCTTCAAATTCACCATCCATTTCAATATTTATGTTGGTCATTGTCAACTTTGTTTGAAACCAAAGCTGTTAAATTTTCAGGTACAATTTGATGTGCATGTATGTCCAATCTTCATTTTTATAGGGGGAAAATAAAGACAGTTATCTCCCTTTGTATGATTCTTAGAATGATAGCTTGTATGAAAGTTGACATGGGATCAATTTCTTTGATATATTGGGATTTTACTTTTCTTTGGTGTCTTACAGAAGCTTTAATTCCTTCTTTCTTTAATTCATGTATTACTTCATTTTCTTTTGGGAAAAAATTTTGGAATGAGAGACATAGAATCTATAATCAAATTAATTCCTGATAAAATTAAGGCTTTGTGTGGTCATTTTACCAAGTATCACTTATTCTAATGTCCAATATAAATTCAGATAACAATGTTATATTGTTTAAATTAATCAGGGTTGTCCTAATTAAATATTCAAATATGAATAAATAAGATTAAATTATGTAGATATGATTGGATTTACAAGACAGGGTTAATCATAAACTAAAAATATTTCAGTTATTATTATTTCTTTACCATGGATTCTGTCTTTCTATTCTCATCTCAATTTATAACAAAACTATAACTTGTATAAAATAAAAGTTGTATAAAATAAAAGTATTATACTAGTGCTTTCCATTGTAGAATGGTAGATGATGTGATATAAAACAAGTTGTATATTTTGAATATGTAACCCCTAAAAGTCACGAATCTTGAAATGTGTTTCACCTACCTGGATAAAAAATGACAGATTTTCCATGAAGATCTCTAGCATTAGATACTATATATAGCCTATATTATTATAATGATATGATGTAAATTTGTATAATCTTATCACAATAGCAAGTTTTAATTTTTTAAGTGTGCACTATTTTATTGGCTGAACTTATTTTACTTCTTCCATTACTCTTGATATTTTGTTTTCAAGGTTTGTCTATTTGCTTCTTACAACAATAATGAATATAAATGCCTATTATTGACAGTCAGATAGTAATTGACTGTTATAATTTTCTTTAGGCAAATTTAATATTGTACAATAATTTTACTTTGAATTAATATCAGAACTTATTTCAATACAATTCAGTTTTCTGACAGTTTAGTGCTTTTCTTTGGGTCGCAGGAATAATAGAATTGTTTCATTGGAATGATACGTGGTGGCATAAATGGTTATCAGAGACTCTGAGATGTTGCAATTCTGTGCATCAAAGGAAAAATTCCACCTTGTAAGTCTGGAAAGATATGAAATTTGATTCTGCAGTGTAATTCTGAATTCTGCATTAAATGAAACACGGTGAATTGGTTATTTTTTCTTCACTTTCTGAAGTATTTGTACTTGATTTTGTAGGATGAATTATATTTTCTACCATGACAAAATGATTGAAAATTGGATATTATATTCCAGAGGATAATATAGGTTTATGTTATAATGGAAGGAAAAGTCATTAATATTATTTAGTAAGAAGAATATTTGTTTTGATTGCTGAGGGATTTTCATATGTCCATATCACTTAATAAGTATTTTGAATTATTTATCTTGTGATCCAAATTAAACACCTGATTAGATATATAACAGAGTGTCAGAAAGATTGTAACTTAAGATTTTCATATTTAATTTACTTCTAGAAATCAGATTGATCAATATTATCTTTGAAATAAGATCAAAGGGTTTTAAGAATTTGATGTATATGATAAGGTTATAATGTTTCTGACAAGTAGTCTGAGGTTTCTAATAGTTTACAGTTGACAAATTCCTCAGTTGATCTTGTCTAGATATAACTTAGTTATTTTTTACTGGAATTTTTGATGGTTATTCTTGGTTTTTAATAACCAATGTAAAAAATGTATGTGTAACTTGTATACAAAGACATTTGTCTTAAGCAGTTGCTGGAATCCTGATAACCATGTTAAATTGTATATGAAAATAACTAAGTTATATGGAGATTTGTGATAACATTGTGTATATACTATATTATATAAGCTTGATTGTTTATATTTGTAAAAGATGAACATATTTATAATAAAGTTAAAAAATTAGAAATCAGATATAAACAATGTGTTTTAATTTTACCGTTGGTTTATAAGAATAGATGTTAATGACACTGTGCCCTTTCCTGGCAATTGTCAGGCCAACATTTTATAAAGGTGTCATCTCTGACAAATTCAAAATATTGAATATCAAGAAAATACTATTCTTCTTTCGATGTTGATTTTCCTTGTCCATGACTATGATCCGAGGTGTCTTGGAACCGTCTAGTCGATGCTGCAATTCCAGAAATTAAAATCCTGAAGGTATATTATCATGAACTCACATATATTAAAGTACCCTGCATTCAGTGTAAGATATACCCAAAAAAAAATGTTTGCAAAGTAATTTATCTGCTGATGAATTTGATATTTATTGCCTTTAACAAGGACAGTTTATAATTATCGATTAGTTGACGTAGGTAACCACTTACACTCGATTTCATGTAATTTCATGCATGTAGTTTTGAATGTGGACAAGTTTTTTTTTACAAAATGGTGACTGATGATTTTGCATAAATATACCGAATCACATAGATTATTTATATTATATCAGTCAGCAATTAATTACTATTTAGACAAACTGATCCATTATTTACAAATTACAATAGTTTATTGTTTGTTCCGGTTGGGTTTGATTTGGAATGAGTAAATTCATATTAGTAATTAAATATAATAATGATGTTAAAATATTATACCAATATAACTGATTCCGGTCACAATTTACGGAAATCAAGAAGAGTGCTGTTGTCAGGTTTGTGGTTCATTCTGACCACAGTAAACTACCATTGAACACAAGTACAGTTGTCTGTAACGATAAGCATCCATCTTTTGGAGACTCAGCTTAAAACTTGCGTGACCTTCTTTTCTGAAAAGTAAATAATAATATTCAGTGAACACAGCCATTACAAGCATATCTCGCCATGTCTATACCCAGTAGACTGCTATACGTGGAATTTAATGTATTTTAAAAAAAAGTAGTCAAGATTACCTTTGGGGCATAATAATCATACAAAAGCACTGCTCTAATGAAACATTTAATGTGAGATAGGCTTGTTAGAACTATTCGGATAATTCTATATAACGTGTTTATTGAGCAAATAATTTCTTCAGACTTTATTGTACAAAATCATCGAATATTATCATATTTAACCATATATATGGTTGCTCATTGCTATCGTGTGACAATCTGGCAGCCACTTAGACACTTAAGTTTTGTATGGTTTGATGTCATGTACTTATTAAGATCGGAAATATTATCAGTCATATATCAATTTAATGCTAGTCTATGTTTCAATATTTCAATAATCAGTGAAGATGGTGACCTCGCGCTGGATATTATTGGCTCTGTTAGCTGTAATTAATTTTGAAACAGTTGTTACACAAGGTTTGTTTTAATATAATGTTATGAGATACTTGATCTAATTAGAATCGAAATAGTATATTTGCATTAAATTGGTTAAAATTATAATATTTGAAAATTCGAATAGAGCATCCGTTTGCAACCTTATACATTGTACATAGATAGTAAAACCTCACAAATTAATATTTGGGCACTTATTTTAATAGAATAATATCAGTGATATTATATACCTTATGTTTAAAAAACCAATAACGATAAGGACAGATCCCAACTAGTCAAAACGATGATGTCACTGACAAAATCTGACTACAGCAGGCAATCTTTGCAAATTCGTTTTATAGCAGTGTCTGGAAAAATCTGATGAATATTTCTGTATGTAGTCGCCCTGAGCACACTACCTTCATATTGTATTTTGAGAACGTTAATAGAACGTTTGAATTATGTTTCTTGTTTGTTCTTTGTTTTCAGATATTTGCCGTAGGTTTCCCTTTCCACAGAGCCTCAATACTTACAGTATCTGTCAGAAACTTACCGGAAGTATTAACAACCAGATGCAGAATATAGTTATAAATTGTGCTGATGCGTCCATTGTTGAGTTAGGTAAAATAGAAATAGGATACAGAGATAGACAATGTCAAGGCATTATAAGCTATATAGGTTGTTGTTTTGGTACCCGGATTCCTAGTAATTCGTCAATAGTTTGTCAGTCACAAGTTGATATAACTGGAACTACTAACAGACTGCTGGAGTTTAGAAATGCGATACTTAGGGAGTGTCGTGGACGATCATCGTGTACATACCAACTATCTCTACAACCACTACTAGAACAGGTCTTCACTGATGCTTACTTTGTTTATCTTAGTGTTGACTATACCTGTAGTTCAGGTAAGTACGAACACAAGTCCAATGCATTAACTGACGGATCGGTTTTAGTAACCTATGTCACTTTTCAGAAAGAACGGAATTTAAACAGAAGTGGTTTAAACGAAGACGAGAAAAGTTGTATTTATCCTTGTTTTACCTCAACGATTTGAATTCAATAAACTTGCATTCTTTAAGGTACTCTTATCAGTTGCATGGTTGCGAATAATGAAAGTGGTCATGAGTTCCGAACACAGCTCACAACTCATACGAAATTACGTATGGTTCTTACATAGAAACAACACACGCGAACGTAATACACAACAATTTTAAATCACTACTTTGACTTAATAATTCTTTACTATCATTCGTCTTTTGTAGATTCTATGGGGCCATCAACACCCAAAAGTAAGTAACCATTGTTTTATTGATAGTGTGGTAAGAGATAGCTAGTTATAATGGTAACTTTGATGTGAACAAGTGCACAAGTTTATGATCTGTTTTTGTTTGCTCCGACTTCATTCCATCTCCACAATGTCAGGCTATTACAAAATTCGAACTACTGCAATAGCCACTAGTCTTATATCAACCATACAGCCATTGGATTTGGTTGTACGACAGCGAATACAGCCAATCAAAACTCTCGACAGAGAGGCTGTAAACATTATACTTGTGTTCACATACTTTCTATCTAGGACTCTGATTGGCTGTATTCACAAGAGTACAATCCAATCAACTCCATTTGCAATCTTCCATAGAAGAAAGGTGGCTATTGCCGTCAAGGTATAAGTTCGTAATGGTTTGACATTGTGAATATGACTTCATTTCAAACTGATCGTTTTTATTTGACTTTTTACAGCCGACTCATCACCAGGTGGTGATAAGAACGGTAAGTGTTATTTACATTACCTCCCTTATAATTTCAAAAGTTTGAACAAAATAATTCAATACGGAGTACAGTATATTATTGTGATCACCATTTCATGAAATGGTTAATCAATTTGATATACCTTTTTATCTGAAAAAGTTGCATATTTTTATAGCATTCCGATCACCAATCACAAAAATTGATTTAATAATGTCTCAATATCAAATGGCCTAAATTAGGTTGTGATCATACAGCGATATTTTTTTCAGCCATAATAAGTGAAGTTTTTGTTGATAAAGCCTGTCTTGATAATTATGTTCTAGTCTATGATATCAGCTACTACTGAAGCCGAACGTTAACTTGTCATCTATGAACCCATCTGATATGTTCTAATTTGATTGCAGGTGTTTTAATAACAGGATGGATTGTAGCTGCTGTTATATTTGTACTATTTATTGTTACCATTGCTGTAGTCGTGTAAGTTTATTTTTATATATATAATTATCGAATTAGAAACATAGATTCATTTCTGATGCAAGGAAATGCTCAACATCTAAAACATTCAGCAGAATTTTCCTCACTGGAAAGAAATTGACATTTAATTGAAACTACGCCTTAGAATGAACATTTAAGTAATCGAAATGGTCGATATGAGTATAAATTCTGTTCTTCAGTGAACTTACCTGGTGTCATTAAGTTACAACAGAATTCCAAAAAATTGGAAATTCACAAAACTAAGTAATTATTGAAAAACGCTTAATGATAAAATTAAGCGTTTTTCAATAGTTAATTGCATATTTATGGATAATTGCTAAGTTTTTGGGATTTATCGGATTATATAAGGATCTTGTTATGGTATTTATGACACCAGGAATATATACTGATGAATATATGCTCTTATTGGCCAAGTTTAAAATTCTAAAATTATATGTTCATTCTAAGACGTAGTATCACTTTAAAATTGATTAATATCAGTCAATTTTTATGAGGCCGAGCCCAAGGAAATATTAACTTTACTATCGTTTATTTTCCTTGGCGATGTTCTATATTGAGTTCAGGTTGTCTTCTCAGCGAAATCTTTTTCACTCTCTGTGATGGATATTGTTTATCAATGATCATCCTGACTTGTATTCTTTACCATTGTCAAATTGTTTAAGTAAGACTTAAGTTTTAAAGGTTTAGCTGCATTTGCAGTTTGATAGTTGAAAGAAATAATAGATCCTAATTTATTATTTTCAGGTTTCTGTATAGACAAAACAGAGAGAAAGTGCAGAAATGCATTCCAAAATCAAGTTTACAAAAACCAACAAAACCCTTAAGTCCACTACCGAGTGTTCCGTATGACATAAGAAATAGCAGCTATACAGCACTTGACGATCGAGAATATAACACCATACCTAATGATTATGAAAAAATACAGATGGAAAATAGTGTTGATCATGAATATTTAGAGCCAACAGCACCATCAGAATACTCGGTTGCCACTAGTGTAGTTACTCCCCATTAATGCCCTGTGATGCGCTCGTGAATACGCCAAAAGACGATCACTTAAAAGGTCCATACCGAGGCTTTTTAAATATTGTGTTCAATTTTTCAATGTCAAAGATGGGTCCATTTTAACGCCAAGAGCCTATTTTTTATTAGCATGTGTAATTTTAGCTTTTGTAATGTAACTGCTTCTTCCAAATTTGGATTACAAAGCCTCAGCATAAGATATATAAAACTTTCCATTCATCAGATAAAATACCGAAGATAACAATTTTTGGTAATCTCTTCGACAACTGTAGTGTTCATAGGGAACTATTGATGTTAATGGTTTGTTATTGTTAAAGTATTAAAAAGGAAATTAATCAGCCTATTTGTCTTAGAAATCTTCTCTCTTCATTTTCCCTCTATAGTTAATTGCATTAAGAGGGAGAGTAAACGATAGAAGGAAAGAGTTTTGTGTTTGGATCTATTGTCTATTAGGAGTGTAGAATAACTCACAACTACCAAGTCTTTATCTTCTACACGTTCTGTGTCTTTGTTAGTTGCTTGTTAGTCGATACCGATCTCGTTTATTTTTCACAACTAAATTACCTCCTTTCTATATTAAATGAGTGAAAACTTGATGGAAACCAATCCGCTCCCATTCCAATATTTCCTCTGTTATCCTGGAAGCTATTCCATATTCTACATTAGGTGTTGGGAACTGTCCAAATGTCGTATTTTGCTCTCTGATCAAAATTAAAAGCAGCAATTTTTAAATATATACATTGTGTCCATAATATAAATCCAGTTCCATTACGAGTTTTTAGTCTACATAAATATATTTGTATATATGCGGCTAATACATGAACTTGTTTTAGATCTGCTTACATTTAAAGCTCTGGCCTATATTATGCATGTACAACGAATCATGTGATTTTTCAAATTAACTTTTAAGGGTTTCAAACTTAATTTTCCTCAACCAAGTGACTGTATGAAAATATATACCTAGGACTTCTAAACGGTTACCACCCTTGTAGAATACCACATTGAGCGTTGGATAACAAACAAGAATACTAAAAGATAATTTATTTTTAATCACTTTTTGTATATCAATTTAACAGCTTCGAAGCAAAAAAAAAGAAACAAAATTGTATTTTGCTAAATGACCTTTATAAATTCTGACGACCTTTCGAGATACGCCCCTTTTAAGGGTGTTAGTTACAAATGAACGGAACGTGATGTCTGAAATAATAAGAAGCTAAGACTAGGTAAAATATCTGTCATTTCAACGTGCTTCGAACGCTTGAAAAAGAATTTGAAAATTCAATAAAATATTGACATATTTTTAAGAAGTGTGCTTAGCAACTTCTAACAATGATAGGATAATCCTTCTAATTGATAGCACAGATTTCCACAATGAATCATTATATTATTTTACTACTTTTTTTATGGGATTTTATTATTTAAATAGTGTTGCTCATTAACTAATGATTTGTAAGAGAAATGACTTTTGAAGTGACCAATTATCAAACTAAAAACTTACCATGACGTAATATTAAAGTTTTGAAAAATGAATTTCGTGAAAGTTAAGTTGATAGTTATCCCCCATGAATTATTCGTTCAGAAAAAATGGAAATCTGTTAACGCCCTACCCTAACCAAACTTTTAAGGTATCAAAAACGGACACAGAAAGTTCACAACCACCACCACGTCTATACTCATGTTACAACTGTCTAGAGATCTTTACTACGTACATCGTTATTTTAGTACGAAATCAAAATAAAAATGTTCATAAACTGAGGTTAATAAAATTTATATAAACTCTTGCTATACCAGATCAAGGTAAAAATTGTGGGTAAACTAATGCTTTATGAGATTAAATTCAATATTGCATTAACTGTAATACAACTCACAACTTCATTTCAATGGCACCAGTCCAATCGTCTCATTGGTTCCTTAACTAAGACTATTATCCTGATATAGACCAATAGACGATTCCATATCAGCTTGCTAGTCTGGTTGGTTGAAACATAAAGCCAGTGTTCAATAGAGGTCTCCATTAACAGTTCCTTTATTGGTTGGTCTAAACACTCTCTTGGGGCCTAAACTGAAAGAGATAACAATATTTGACGGGAATTAATTTGAGAAAGTGGCATTTATTTGATACTAGTAATGAAATCAATACAATGGATTATATTTTCCATTTCATGCAAATTACTTAGTCGCCAGAAGGAGTAAAGTTTGTACGCCTTCCCTCACGTCTTATAGACACAGAGTAATCTAAAACAGCTAGGAATTAAATACACCATCGTGACTTCTTCAACATCTTGTAGGCAATCTTCTTGATTGCTTATCCCGCTACCATTTATCTTGTAAACTTTACATGGTAAAAGTTACCCGAGAAAGTCGTGTCAAATAGCCTAAGAGATGAGATGTCAAATTTGGACAAGTTGTTGAAGTGTGCTCATAAGCCTCTCTATAGTGTTTACTTTGGTTATATTTGGAGATGTTGTGGTGAAAAACGTTTTAGTAAAGTCATTAAACATCAAAACAAACTATTGAATCAAACAAACCACTGCATTTTATCTCTTTAATTCATAGTGATATATTGACTGTTGTTTAAGTTATTTATTTATGTGTAATAGTTAATTGATCTTTATTTATTCAAGATAAAACCAATAACCCATTCTCACCGTTTAAACCAAAACCTCATCTTGATTTCCCAAAACACCAAAACTTTCTAGATATTTGAATTTCCCATTAGTGCAATTATTAGAAATTTAAAAATTGCAAATTTTCATAGAAATGTCAATAATCAAAATATATCAAATTGCAGAGATAGGTGCGGCATTGTTTATCAGAAGGTAATAAACACAGTGAACGACTATATAGTTATATTTCAAGGTTCTAGAGACACATTTAACAATCACGTATCAAATATACACATCTATCACTAATGCAATCTTTGTAGTCGACCTAATAGAAACAAAACAACAACAAAAAAAACAACAACAACAACAAAACTACCAACTTTTAACCTCTCAATTAAATACGGTGCCTTTCACAAGATTGGTCTTTTAAACCCACTGAGAAAATAATCTTTATTCGTAATTAGCTCGTACTTTACTTAATTATTCTATTTTCAAAGCTGGTTCAAATGATATTACTGAATCCGTTGACCTTCTACTATAAAAACACATGGCTAAATTCTTATAACAAAAATGTGGAGCTACCCATAGATAGGAAAAGTCAGAATTTGTGGTCACACATGACATGCTCAAGGATTTCGTCAAATGCATACAGTATATTGGTGTTTCTCATTTGAACGCCTTGATTCTTGATTATTTATTCGAAAAACGGCAATCTGAAATAAAATGTACAAGCTTGTGTGTTTATAATGTTTAATGCTTAAGTTGATAGTTAATTTGTTCTTTTCAAAATACGAGACCAATGTTAGCGAAAGAACAATGAAAAAACGTGAAAAGGGGGTTCAAACAATGGTTCCTAGCCTTTGGATGCGTAATGGACAAAGTGATACTATTCCGATTTTATTTTCTCTGGTGTCTGAAAAATAATGGTCAGATTATGACCAACTGGGTTTTGGGTCTGTCATATTATGTTATGCTTTCCGATCTTTTCCGGTCTTTGGACCGAAATTGTGCGAGCTAAAATTATCCACAGATAGCAACTGGTCAAACAGAAATATCAACTAGTCAACAGGCGAAAACGATGAAAAAAGTATATTTTAAAATAAACATTTGGACCAATGCACATTTGGGTTGTGGAAGGAAATTTTATACTGTTTTTACTAGTTGAAATAAAAGCATGTAACTGAATTATTCAAATGAATATTTTTTTCAGTTTTACATTGGAGCATTTCACAATCACAACCATCATATAAATAAGTATACGATATACAGCATATAATTGTTGGTGTTCTTCATCATTTTTTAAATTTTTTTTCGAGAATTTCTTTTTAATAAGTATTTGAAACCTATCGTGTTCATACTTTTATGGAAACGAAAAAACTATCTTGACTTTGATTGTCGATATCCATTATTCGAATCTTCATTGTATTCTTATAACCTATAGTGTTTAAAGTGATACTATGTCTTAGAATAAACATAAAATTTAAGTTCTAGAAATGGTCAATATAAGTATATATCCACAAGTTAGCTTACCTGGTGTCATTAAGTTACAACAGAAACCTGTAAAATCTGTAAAATTGGAAAATCCATAAAATTAAGTAATTATTGAAAAACGCTTAATCTTGATATTCACTTGTAAACCAATTGGAAACCGCGGAGACCTAACCTTCATAAAGGTACCGTATTAGTCCATGTGTTTACTCGCTAGTAGGTGAACACATATACATATAAACATATTTTGGTTTCTAAGTGTTAGTATTATTTTTCTAGTATATTGACCGTATGCACAACACATCACATTTTAATTGTGTCAGCTATCGCTCGTAAATACTTTCACTTGGTCTTGTTGCCAAGTTTTCAAAAAATTGTCAAATGCAGAAGTCACATGACGTGTCGGGCTGTCGGATTTATCAAATGTTTTCCTTTCACAATCTATTTAAAAATTTTGTAGAGGTTTCGTTCTATTATTATTTTCCGACAGAAATCTGAAAGCGAAGAAATTCACAAGGTTTTGTTATGATGAATAGTCCTATCGGACACGCTGTTTATATCAAATATAAATAGAAATCTCACAGAAATATCGTGGAGTCGACCACAGAACTGAAAATGAGACTTTTATTTCTAGAAGATACCTTGTTTCAGAAACTTAAGGAGGTCAGTTGTAACAAAGAAAATGTTTGTTTCAGTCTCCAGCATGAGCCAAAAAATAATTTACATAGACTTTTATGAGCTTCTCAAATAAATTCTGATTTTCAAAGGTCATAGCATCAATCTTATAAACATAAAGTTAAGATACGAAGTTCGTACTCTGCTGAACTTTATCATAAAACTCTTTTCAAATTTCATCTTTCTTTTATATACTCTATAATACTGAAAACAATGATTTTTCGCTTGGCTGAAAACAATGCTGTCAATATCTTTAAGGGCTAACCTGTTATTATCCGATAATTAAAATGAGAAACAAAACAAAATTTAGCATTGCACAATTTCTGATTTTAGGTAAAGACCTAAAGATAGTTGCCGATCTAGCCTACCATGTCAGATCGTCTCTTCAAAATTTTTCCTACCTGGTAAAGCAATAATCATATCCAATAAAACAGTAGAAATAGAAGTTAAGAGTGAGTGGATGATATCAACATCTAGAAAGTTTTAACAGAATATAAAGTATTTGATAATTTACAGTAAAATATAAAGACTATTAACGGGCTGTACGTGTCTTCAGATTTGGACATAGGGAG